CAAGGTTTGGGCGGCTGGGGTGGGAATACTAGCTACGCAGAGCGAGCGCAATGGGGAGGGGCAGCGTGAAAGAAGCATAGGTAGCTGCCCCGTGACACAGCGCGAGCGACCACAGCGCAAACCCTAAACCCTGAACCCTAATTAGGGCCCCTGTAGCAAGGAAGGCGCCTCGCCCGACGCCGCCGGACCAGGGCTCGGGGCACGACTGCCCCATCTGCCGGGACACTCAGAAAGTCCGAGGTCTTTAGGGGGTTTAGGGTTTATGGTTTAGGGGTTTAGGGGTTTAGGGTTTAGGGTTTAGGGTCAAGGGTTTAGAGTTTAGGGTTGCGCGACATGATTGCTCCTGGGAGGGTTCAAGCGGGTTTGGGGTTTAGGAGGCGTAGGCTTTAGGGTTTAGGGTCGCAACAGGCCCTGGTGCTAAGAATGGTTTAGAGTGTTTAGGGTGTTCGGGGTTGAAGGTTTGGGGCTTGGGGCAGTAGTGTTACGGCTTGGCGCGATGCTGTCGTTTTCTGTCACTTTCCGACCGACTTCCCAAGCTCCGTTGTCAGAGGGCTTCTTTCGGGTTTCATAGGGTTTTATCGGGTTTTTGTAGGGTTTCACAGGCTTCAAGCGTCGTGTTTCGTCAAGTGTTAAGATTAAAACCTTACAAAGCTTCAAAATGCTCTTGCACCGCGCGAAAGGCCGAACACCCAGAAAGATCCGAACCTGTAAAGGGTACCCGAAGCAAAACTGGGGTATACTGTAATATGAGTATAAGGGGCTGTAGAAGGCAGTCCGATTAAATGGACAGATCTCTTTTTTTCTTGCTGGCCCAGTACTTTCAAGCCGGTTGCGAAACCGCATTAACACCTAAAGCAACTTTCCTCAACTGAAGACCCCTGTCACACCCCATCAGCACATGCGAAGCTTCTCAAACCCTGCACAGAAACGCATGATGGCTTTTTGAGCACTATGAAAACGGCCTAAACCCTGTACCGACTACCACGAATGAATTCCTTCTAGTGCCTTGTTTTGAGCCCGTCTCGCCTGTAAAGACCCTTATAAACATCCGTATAGATCCAAGTTGGGCTTTCTTCTCGGGTACAAGCACTTCTAACTTCTTATTGTGCAGACGCCCATGAATCATGATACTAGTAGGTGTCCCGTTACTCGGGCCCGTACAGAAAGAGGGTTTATTGGAGCCTTCGTGAAGCCCTCTCGTTCTCTGCTGAAGCTGCAAGTCGGGCTTTGAACTCTGGTGAGGCTTTCGAGATCCTCATGTAAGCTGTCTTTGGGTGAACCGCCAAACCTTAAGACCTCGCCTGGATTGTCCGAGTTGTGAGGGTGTAACCCTAACCCGTCCTTATGTGGATACTTCTCTAAATTAGGGTCCGTTTTAGGTCCCCAATAGAGTACGGCACCCTTACAAAAGGACCCTACTTTAGAGAACTACCCATGTAGAGGGCAAAACACTGTGAACCCGAAGCCCTAAACACCCAGCTGCTCCAGGCTTGCGATGCGGGGGCCAGATGGGTGGTTGTCAAAATTATGGTCCCTTTTTGGGTCCTTATTATATTACGGCACCTATTATTTAGGGTACCCCAAAAGGGACCATAATTTTGACAGCTACCCAGATATCAAACAAACCCTAACTAAACCCTAAACCCCAAACCCTTGAAGCTAAACACCCCTAAACCTTGAGGGAAAAAGCCCTAAATCCTCAATCCCTCCTTAATCGCTAAACCTTAAACCCTAAAAACCCTAAACCCTAAACCCTGAAGCCCCTAACTTTGAGCTCTTTCTCGGACTTTGGTCGAGGCCATGAGACCTACAGCGCTCAGGTCTTCCCCGTTGTGCAAGCTCCCTGCTGCCTGGCTGCAGGAATTTGGGCGGGTTTTCGGGCTTAGGGTTTAGTTTTTTGGGTTTCATGGCGTCAGGTTTCGGGCACACGCAGATTTTAGGGTTGATAAGTGCCGAGGCATTGAGGGACTTGTGTGTCAGGGTCCCGAAGCATCAAATCAGGTGGCCACGTCACGTGTGCATCCTGCAGCCTTCAGTGGCAGCTGAAGAAGCCGGCAGGGGCGTCAGCGATGTAGGGTTTGAGGAACATGGGGGCGTAGAGTTCTAAGTGATTTGGCGTTTAGGGTCTTGAGGGTTTAGGCTTGTAAAGCCAGCATGAACGAGGTTCGCTTCGGAGTCTGTCAGTCTGTCTGCTAGGACTCCAAATAAACGTAAACCTTTTACACCATAGCCCAAACCCCAAACCCAGACCGGCTTCACCGGCCTGAATTCCAAAGCCTTCCCAGCCTGGTTCCTCGAAGGATCATTGGACTGAGTAAGTCGGTTCTGTTTGTTTGGGGTGATAAGAATCCGAAATTCTGCTTAGCTTATCTGTAACCGTGCTTATGCCCTACATACAGACATTAAACTCCTAAAGCCTAAGACCTTGCAATAGACAGCCCACTCGCAGCCGTAATCCTTTCAGTGCGGATGGTCACTGCTTGCGGCTGTTCGGCTCAAGACAGCCCCAGAGCTTTACAGGATTTTCCGGGGTTTGGAACTTCTGGGTGAAGTCGCGGAAGCCCTGTCGCACATGTTGTTTTTGCCCCGAGTTTGGGGTCAAAAGGGGTTTCAGATCCTCTAGCTTTTCAGGCTTTGGGGTCTAGGGCTGAGGGGTCTAATGGCACGGGAAAGCCATTACAAGAGACCTGCAATCGAGCAGAGCCACAACGAGGCTCGCGCACACAGCCCGGGGGCTCTAGTTCCGGACAGCCTGCGCCCGTACTTTAAATCCGTTGGAGTTCCAGGAAAGACAGGGGACGCCGACTACTCGATCCCGAATAGCAGGATGCATTTTAAGAAGACAACAACCCTCAATTTTGTGGACCTGACTACAAATCCTACCCTAAGCCCCGAACCTGGAGCCCTCAACCGTACAGGGAACCCCCGAAACTCATTGTGAGCCTTTCTTTGTTTTTATACCAGGGCCAGAGTTTTGGTAAGGGTGGGTTTATAAGGTCCTTATGCCTTTTCTAGGCGGGTTTCATGAGGCTTTCTTGATGCTCTATGAACTTTCCCTAAACCCTGAACCCTAAACCCTAAACCCTAAACCCCTAAACGGGATGCTCGAGCCCCGCTTGCTTGCAGGGTCTTAACATTGACCATACTTGTATAAAGGTTAAGTGAGGGACCCGGGTTTGTGGTTTAGGGTTTAGGGTTTAGGGTTTAGTGCAAAAGGACATAAGCATAAGCATTTCATAGAGATATCCCTACCTTATCGGGCTTCATGATCCTATCCGAGTTTTTGCTGATGTGCTTTTTTGGGGCCCTGTAAGTTACCAAGAGACCCGAAGATCCTTGGCTTGACGCGTGCGGCTGAGATTGTGAAGTAATCCAGAAGCCTGAATAGTTACTTTAGGGTTTAGGTTTTAGGGCTTATGGTTTAGGGTTTAGGGTTCAGGGTTTAGGGGTGGTTTGATTTCGCCATAATATCATATCCCCTAATCCCCATTCTATGAGGGCCGCTGTCTTCGGCATCCCTTCGATCGGGAATGTTGGAGTCTCTAAATTTCCCCATCAAACCCTGACCTCTAGATAGGTCGTGGTAGGCCACAGAGTTCCCTAAACCCTAAACCCGAAACCCAAACCCGAAACCCTAAACCCTAAATCCTAAATCGTTTGCAGACTCGAACCATATGCCTCGCCTGGATTGTCCGAGTGCGAGCGCCGAAACCCTAAAGCCTAAACCCTAAACCCTAAACCCTAAATTCTGTCTCTGCAGAGCGTTCCAAAAAACTTGAAGTACCACCCCAAAAAGGCCGTCATGGGGGAGGGCTCTTAAGCCCCTCAAGCCCAACATCCTGAACCCCCCAAAAGCAAAAAAACTCGACACCCCGAAGCAAAAAAAGCACCCTAAAGCCTAAACTCTCATCCCTGAAGCCTAGGCACGAGAGTGAGTGCTGATACCCTGAAGCCTAAACCCTAAAGCCTAAAGCCTAAAGCCTAAACCCCAAACCCTAAACCCTGAAGCATAGGCAAGTCCGAGAGTGAGTGCTGAAGCCTTGAAGCCTAAACCCTAAAGCCTAAAGCCCAAAGCCTAAACCCTAAACCCTAAACCCTGAAGCCTAAACCCTAAACCCTGGACCCTAAACCCTAAACCCTGAAGCCTAAGCCCGGAGAGGCCAAGAAGCCGCGGGCCGAAGGCATCGCCGGCGAGGCCGCCGCCGAACTCCGCATCGCCGCGCTGAGAGAAGCGCTGGAGAGGTGCCTTGGGTTTAGGGGTTCCCAGAGACTCCAATATCCTTTAATTAAGGAATATACCTGAAATCATATTAGGAATCGTACTATAATTTAAGGTATATTCCTTAATTAAGGGGTATTGGAGTCTCTGGGTTCTAGGGGTTTAGGGTTTAGGGGTTTAAGGTTTTGAGTGTTCAGGCGATTGCACAAGTCCTGATGAAAAAAACAGGTTTTTGGGTTTAGGAAAAAGGGTTTAGGGGTTTTAGGGTTGTGTGAAACCCTAGACCCTAAACCCTTCACCCTAAACCCTAAAGCCTAAATCCTCGAATTGAGTTGGCATCGTTGTACGAGAAGACCCCTAGACCTTAAAGCCCACAGCCTAAAACCCTAAGCCCTAAACCCCAAGCCCTAAACCCTAAACCCTAAGCCCTAAACCATTACCGGAGCCGAGGCGGGAGACAGGCGACAGTGCTGGCACCATTGCGCAGCTTGAGGGCATCCGGGAAGTCCTGCACAGTGCCCGGGCTCGCTCGGGCTGCCTGGGGTTTACCGGATCCAGGGCTTTAGGGTATTGAAGGTTTATAGGTTTATAGGGTTTATAGGG